TCTCACTTTTAAGCTTGCCAGCCATTTTAAAGTGAATTACAAATGAAAATACGTACTGTAATTTGAAAAATTTTTGGTACGACTGAGGCAGGTCGTAAGTGCGAGTGGTCGTAAGTCGAGTACAGTGAGTTCTGCTATAATGCGTGTTTTGACAACGCGAATTGGCTCTAACGCGATTTATGAATAGAGGAACGATATTTGTATAACGCGAACGCTTGTTTGCTGTAACGTGATTTTTGCTTACTATTTCTCCAATTTTGTGATATTAACTGTGAATATGGTAAAGAAGAATATCTCCAAGAAGCGTTCTGGTGATCGCATTCCCGGTGATGATCGTAAAAGCAAGGCTATAACCCTTGAAGAGAAGCTCGATGTTATCTACCTCAAAATCACCCTTCTCCCCCATCAAGTTATATTCATATTTTTTCAAGGTAAAGTGTTACATTTACTGTATGATTTCATTATTAGATATGAATGTAACATTTATTTAGACTGTGCTATCCTTTGTGTTAGGCTAACTACTAAATTTTTTTCGATTTCGAGTAGTAATCTACACCTAACCCTATTTTCTCCATAAGCCCTGTTATTTCTATTACGCGAATTTCTATAACACGATGTTTTACAAGAACACAACTATCGCGTTATAGCAGAACTGACTGTAGGTCGTAAGTCGGGAGTAGCTGTATATGAAAAAGTAATTTTATTTTATTTTTATTATAGTTTGGTCATAAATACGAATGAAATAAGGATGTAAACTGAAATGGGTCCTAAATTATCTAGGGTTTCAAATACGAAAAGTTGTAGGACGAATCGTTGTTATCCGAGGCTTTACTGTAAATGCCAGGTAGCGACATGTCCTCCTAATATTATGTATTGAGTAATTATTAGATGTTTTAATTGCCTGTATGTTGGCCTGGCGAGTTATTGCTCGGCATTTACATACCTAGGTATAAAGCTAGACGTCGCATTCTGGATTGAACACAAATACTGTACAGTATAATACTTGTACAGTACATATATATGGGAAAAATAGGTACGGGTCTCAACTAATCTAAAAACAAGCAATAATGTGTGGGTTTATTCTTGTGCTTTACATAATTAAAAAAACATTATTGAATGTGTTATAACCCCCCCCCCCAAAAAAAAAAAAGATAAACTAAATAAAATAATACTACCTGTATTTGTATATACCAGTACTGTACTACATACAGTTGGTACAGTACTGTATTACCTTACATTGGGCTTTCACCCATTTGTGATGCTTGATTGTCTCAAGTATATCTTCAATTATCACAGGTTTGTGGTGTCTCTTGGTGATGGTAGGGGGGTAGCAGAGGAATTGCCACTATGGTTGGATGCCATTGTATACAGATTGACTAAAGAATGGAACAAATACAGACAGATAAAGAGAGAGCATTTCACTTGCACTGAAAAGAGTGAATGGAGCATAAGAAGACATGGAATGGGGAGAATGGGATGGAGGGAGGTAACATCATGTGCCTGGAGCAAGAGTACTGTTTGTTCCTGCACACCTGCGGAGATAAATAGCTGCCAACAGTTGACTTCCGGACCGTGCCTGATATGTGATTTGAATATTTATCTGACCAACATTCGGATAAGTAAATACAGTATCACATTTGGATAGCAAAAAAGGGGTGGAAGATAGAATATTCGGATAAGTGAATTTTCAGATAGTGAGGGATACCTATACAGGGCCTATAGGTTGGGTCTATTTAAATAGAACCATAGGGAGTAATAGAAACTAGAAAGTCAAGGTACATTTACAGTTCACTACTCTTATGTTGGACATGTTGGCTATTATTGTCAGTCAACTTTCATAGTCTGGTTATCCATTAATGCTGTACAGTACTGTAAGTTACCTCCTATAATTTTATAAGTGCAGAAACCAAATTACTGAAGCCCTTTCTCAAATTACTGCATATACTGTACCTATACCTTTGAGTACAGTGTCGGTAGATAACCAAATTATGAAAATGGATTGAAAATACAAGTAATGTCAGAAAAGTAACTTGACTTCCCAGTTTCTATTACTCTCTGGTTTCATTTAAATGGATCATTTTGTTGTTTGCATATACAGTGGTCCCTCGGTTAACGAACATAATTCGTTCCCGAAGGTCGTTAGTTAACCGAAAATTTTGTTAACCGAATCCATTGTTTCAATGGGATATTGGGTAATTGGTTCCAGCTCACCGAAAAGTACATACAAAGTAAAAAAAAAAATGCAGTAAAGTACACTTACTTTGAGGTGTGTATGTAGAAGGTTCCTGGTTGATGATGATGATGGGAATTAGAAGTGAGGTGGAGGAGAAGGGAAAAGAGAAGAAAGTGGGGATGGAGGAGAAATCACCTTTCGGTGGACCCATGCTTGATGCAGTCATTTCACCAATAAAATTTTAAGTTCACTAGGTGTAATTCAAGATTATTTTCTTTAAATCAACACGGCACTGCACTATATATTATCAATATGTTAACTAAAGTTCAAAATGACCAAAAATTTCAATGAAAAATGAAAAAATATTCAAGACACCAACAAAATAGATGCTCTCTCCACTGTTTTCAAAGTCTCAACTGACCCCTTGTGACCGACTCATGCATCTGATGGGCGCACAACAAACTAGTTCCCTGTACTGCATATATTATCAATATGTCAAATAAATGTTAAAATTACTAATAATTTTAATATAAAACATGCAAAAATATTAAATAGCACAACTTTATTGATATTTACTACATTGGAAACGAATGTAAACATAGAACAGATTTCTGAATTGACAAAGTAGCCCATCACCTGATCAGCTGATGCTCACAACAAAACATGATTTTCGTAAGGATTTATTTTTGTTCGTTAACCGAATTGAAGATTCTAATGGAAAGTAATTCGTTAACCGAAATTTCGTTAACCGAGGGACCACTGCACTGTACTCTCTCAAAGATTTAAAATTTTATATTTCCAAGAGAAATTTGATCCTTCAGTTATAAACCCTTTCAAAGTACTATACCTGTATTTGCAAAGCATCTTGTTCATCTTCCAATGCTGAGTATCATTTCTATTTAACACAAAACTGAATAACACCGTAATCTATAGTATTGTACACTAACCACAAAAAGTTCTCGAACAGCTGGGCACGACAGATTTCAGAATGAGCACTATGGCTTGTGTCATCTAAGAATGGTTGGTACAGTATGCCTGGTTGTGAAGTGACTCAATATTTCATAATAATATATGTTGCTTGTCTTTATAGTATTTACAGGTGAAAAGAAGTACAGTCGACCCTCGTTAAAACAGACTAATAGGGGGGGGAAGGGTGTCCGTTTTAGCCGATTGTCCGAATTAACCGATTTAGGGGTTAATATTGCACTATACAGCTATGTGTATGTTTATTTGAGTGCCCCGTCATAGGAGTCCGTTTTCTCTCACTTCAGCACTCCTGAGTCGTCCGTTTTCTCTTAATCTTAGAGTGCACCAGAGACTGTTATATCTTAGTAGTGACACAGAATTTGATATTGCAACTGGGGTTGCAATTATTGAGGCAACTTAGGTATGTCTGATTACAGTTGGAATATTCAAGATCCATTGTGAGTGATGTTTAAAGCTTCAATTGTCTTTATGGTTGGTAAAACTTGTCAAGTCTGTCGGTCTGAATGGCATGTGTGAGGCCTTGTGTTTGTACAACCGCTAAATATATAAATATATAATGTTATGATAATTATCAGAAACACATAGGCATAACGAGGTTTATTACAAAGTGATGAAAAGGATACTGTACAGTGGCTAGTCCACAAAACATGTAGCCATGTCTCTTTATTTGAGTGCCCCGTCATAGGAGTCCGTTTTCTCTCACTTCAGCACTCCTGAGTCGTCCGTTTTCTCTTAATCTTAGAGTGCACCAAAGACTTTGTTAATTCTTAGTAGTGACACAGAATTTGAAATTGCAACCCCAATTGCAACTGGGACAATCCCAGAACCAGAAATTTGATATGGACAGTTCAGATTTCGTCCGATTTATCCGAAATCCGGATTAAAGGGGTCCGAATTAACGAGGGTCGACTGTACTGTACTGTATAGCAATTTAATTTGCAGTGAAACTTCCTCAGAGAGCAATGTTTAGGTTTCTCGTTCGTTTTGTCATATTGTATGACCCTTAGAGCGTTTGAGGACCTGATAGCGAGTGTATGTGATTTACATTATAGTACGATACAAGATTTGTCCTTTCTAACCCTATTATCATTTTTCTACTTGGTTTCCTGTTTAAACCAAATCAGTCTTTGCACAGAATATTGTAAATACCATCCTTAGAGAAAAAATTCTTGTCATATACGTATAACAATATTCAAGAAAAGCTGGTGTTTACAGGATTCTTTGTTAAGACTGTGATTTGATTTACACTGTAATTTCATTTACAGAAAGGAAACTAATAGAGACTTAGATTCCAGAGTAAGGGAATACATAATTATGTGCTACTGTATTAAATCTAGTATTGTAATGTAAATAATGCGTTACTGTACTGTTTTCAGATATGTTTGGGACAACTGGTGCATTAGTTTAGAATTGAAGTAGGATGTACAGATGTGATAGTATTAAGAAGGATAAAACTATAAAGTGAATTTTATTCAAAAAATAATATTAATTAATTTAAGTGAGGTACAGTAACTCCAAATTACATCTCATGAAGAGGTCTTGGTTTCCAGGTTAAAAACTGTCCGAACCCTTAATTAATGCCACATCTCCGGAATCTTTGTTTCCAGTTATAGTGAACTCCGGTTGTACTTGAACTCTCACAAAATATCTGCACATGAACCTGTATATCCTTTGTAGCTCCAGTCTTGCTGGTACATGCAACTAAAGAGGATGCCATTAACAACAAAACTGTATTGCAGAAAAAGGTTCCTCCTTTATACATGGGTTGATACATAATGTTGCTTACAACATTCACCATTAGAGATAATATGAGTACTTTCTAAAGTATTAATGAACTAACCTTTGGGTTTGTGTAGTATTCCTTAGCCTCCACTGAAGGGTATGTGCCAGTGATAGGCTTAAAGTCCTTGCGACCCTTATAGCGACCAGAGAGTTGGCCGCGCTTGCCCGTACCTATAGTTTGGGTTGCTAAGGCCACACTCAATAATGTGAGGACCATTATAGCAGACATCCAGCATGGCACTTCTTTCATTTTCTCTTGTGTGGGATATCTGCAAGGAATACAGTTTAGCTTATGATTATCTCCTTTAGTAAATTAAATGCTGCCTGTAAATGTGATATCACTACTACCTGCATTACTGTGACCCTCATGTTTTACTCTTACATGACATGTTTAGTTTCAGGCATTACATTATTTCTCTTCAAATTTGCCTCTGTTGCATGTTCTTGATGTGTTGGATTTTGCAAATAGGCTCAGAATTTTTCTTACAGTACAGTATTTCACTGTAGATTCCACCCAATTTGTGGGGTAATATTCCAGCAGTCTCTCGCATACTATAAGTATATCTAATTTTTTTTTATATTACACCTTCTTTGAGAAAGGGGTCATGTTCCTAAGTATATTATACTGTACAGTATAGTACAGGTTGTACCTCTCTAGTCCGGCAACCTCGGGACCTGACCGGTGCTGGACCATGGAAATTGCCGGACCATGGAAATTCACTCTTTTCCTGGATAGATAGTGACTTGTGCTTATGCTTGGAAGCACTGGCACCACTTTCTCTGCATCATGGTCTCTTTGAAGACATATTGAAGGGTTAAATGTCGTATAGTAGCTTCTCAAATTTCGCGAGTTTTTAATTCTTAACGTATTTTATTGGAACACACACAAAAAAATAAATAAATAAAAATTTTGATGGCGGAAACTTGAATTTCGACGGGTTTGAACGGCCCGCCAACGTGCAGACGACGTGCATAATCGTGTAAACAGCGTCATTTCTCTTATGTACAAAAGATTCATTATTGTTTATTACTGAATGTCTTTTTTATTGAATTAATGTTTGTGTGCAAAATGAGCAATACAATTCATTAATAATACGTAGAATATTAAAACACACGAGGAAATGACACAGCATTGTTTTCGTTGATTACAAAACCAGTGACTGACTGGTTCTACATATAAAACTGAAGAAAATAAGACCTTGGTTGTAGCTGTAGTAAAATTAATATGGTTGTTTTAAGTAATGTTATTTAATGTTAATAAATGGAACAATAGAAGTAGCTAACGATAATGGTAAAGAAAAAAGAGAGATCGCGTATGTAAGTGCGCACACGTGAAAACATATCGTCATTACTTTACATAAGAATATGAAAGCAACACTTATTTACTGTTCATATATATTTTAATTAATGTTTCTGAATTTGTTTTTATTGAATTAATGTTTGTGTGTGCAAAATTAACAATACAATTTATTAATAATATGTGGAATATTAAAACACACGAGGAGACGAGACGGCTGCCGGCATTGTTTATGTTAAAGCTTACAAAACCAGTGACTGATTGGTTCTACATATAAAACTGAAGAAAATAAGACCCTGATTGTAGCTGTAGTAAAATTAATGTAAAAAAATTAATATGGTTGTTTGAAGTACCTGTAATGTTATTTAATGTTAATAAATGGAACAATATAAGTAGCTAACCATTAATGGTAAAAAAAAAAGTGAGACTGCGCGTATGTAAGTGCACACATGTGAAAACATATCGTCATTACTCTACATAAGAATATGAAAGCAACACTTATTTACTGCTCATATATATTGAAGGGTTAAATGTTGTACTCTGTATAGACAAGCAGAGAGAGAGAGAGAGCAGCCGAACTGCCGGATGTAAACAAACCTTAATTTCCCGCGGCTTTGCTGTTGTTGTTTTTTTTACGGGGATTAGCCCACCCGGGCATAGGTCACTGACCCACATTGGGGCCTGAGGGGCAAAAATTTAATACTCCTGTAATAATAATAATAATTCAGATAAAAAAAAAAAGAAAAAGAAAAAAAAAGCTACCTATCTACCTATTGGACAAACTAAAATCGTTCCGGACCACGGGAGTTTTCGGACCATAGAATGTCGGACGAGAGAGGTACAACCTGTATTGTATTATACTAAATTTCACTTAAACCACCAAAAAAAAATTTATTGTCTTCTGATGTAGGAATAAAACTTTCCTGAAGAAGATAATATAACTTGGAAATAGCAGCATTATATGATAAACAATAAACTGACTGCACACAAAATCATGAATAAAGTAGAGTTAGGGAGGATAGAGGACATGAGGTGCAGAGAAAATCAGTTTGGAGGGCAGTATCAAAGTAACACTCCTTCATAGGTATTTATTGGGACTGTCTAGTGCTATTTTTTATTCAGTGGAGCATTAATAACTCCACAATGGTTTGTTGGGATGGAATATCACTAGTTAGTGAATCACTGTAGAGACTTGAAAGTGACCATCACATACCATCCCTTACTTCCACCTTGGCAATGCTGGGTGAGAGACCCACTCTACCTGGACAGCCCAGCTAATATTCACCCTCACATTTTGGCTGTCTATATTCCCATATTCCATATCCTTCCGAAGCAGGTGCATAGTGACTGGGGAATGCAATTGTGTGAATGCAAAAAGAATGTTAGTGAACACTAGAAATATGATTAGGAGTGGCCCTGTACACATGTTATAACTCTGGCCTTGACAATACAGTCTGTAAACTTCAATTATAACTAAGTTAACTCTTAACATTGATAAATGATCAATTTCTTACCCACTCAAATGTCACGAATGATAAGATGAAGTACAGTGTTGTGAAAATCATTAAATCCAATTTCCTCTATCATTTAACACCCGCCACCTCTTCCTCCACCAACAGGACAAGTGAGGTGCAGTGGTGTTGTGTTGTTGAAGTGTTTTATTGTTCATTTTATAATACTGTACATTACAAAATATACAGTATAGGCAGCCATTTTTATTTGATATAAGTGCTTAAAGTATAGTACAGTACTGTACTACTGTTGGAGAAAATATCTTATAATCTGAGTAGAGTTGCTTCAAGATCCAGTATACTGTATCTCCTACTTATTTTCTCCTGTGGTGTACACAGATTTACTCTATTGTAAATAGATTTTGTGTTTTGTGATGATTATATCACTACAGTCAACCCTCGCTTTACGCGGTCCCACATTCCGCGTTTCCACGTTTATGCGGTACCCTGCCGAAACCAGGATGCTCACATTCCGCGGTGCATGTACCCCTTTACGCGGAGAGCGGCTGGCGAGCCGCACCATTTTTTGATCCAAACCTCCCGCCCTCTCCCGCCATCCGCCATGTTGTGTAAGCGGCGCAAGCAGGGCGCGCACAAGGTCGCCCAGTCATCAAAACATTACCGCGTTCTTCACCCGCCACCCACCACAGCCGGCCCAAGTCAGTGATAGTGATAATTATAGTGAGGATATGGACTTATATGGACTTTGAGGGGTTTGACAAAGAGGCCCTGAAAGCCTCTGTGGTGGATAGTGATACAATTGATACAAGTGATACAGGTGAGGGCCAATAATCTGCCCCCTGCCGCGGAACCAACCCCCCATCCCCATGTGCCCAGCCATCTTTTCTACTAATGTAGGTGTTAAAAAACCTAATGTTATTGATATTTCTCTTAATTATTAATTGTGTGTGCATACCATCATAAAGTTAAGATAAAATTTTTACTACAACATAGTTGTGTGTCGTCAAAAAGTGGAGTTTGGGGGACGGCCCGGTCTCTATTTCAGTTAATCCCATATGTTATGTTGTTCACTTTACGCGTTTCTCACTTTCCGCGGTACCCTGTGGGTTGAATTAACCGCATAAAGTGAGGGTTGACTGTATACTGTATATTAATTATCATTTTGTATTTACACTTGTATGTTTGTGTGTGTTTGTATGCACACTTTAATCTGAGCATGGTGTGTCTTTGTAAACACTGGGTTCATAATGTCCTTGACTGTAGGTGTCCCAACTTCTCTCCACTACCTTATGATGTGTGTCATTTCAGCTACTTGTACAGGCTTAATCAATTGTCAACTTTATTATAGTTAGAAAAATATCTTGTATGGAAGAGAGGATTCCATTTCTGTCTGCTGCTATAATTAGCAGCACTGTGCTGTCCTTCATTAGTTCTCCATCTCATTCATTAATATTCTTATCAGCCATGGTTATACTGTACAGTACTGTATATAAAAAAAAAATATAGATGTAATCATAACTACAGTCAGGAGCATAAGCTGGATTTTCTTCAGGGAGAAGGGAGTAATCAGATTGACAAAATAATGATGAAATGCACAAGCAAGACCAACACTGATGAACACCTTACACTATCTCCCTCATGTACAGAATACCAAATACTGTATTCTATAATCTTCATACAGTATAAAGGTTCAGCAGCTGATGCTTAGCCTGGTCACTGTAATGTCATAATAGTTAAGAGAATGGATGTCATACTTTTTTTGTTGTTTTGGTGTTAAATATCTAATACTCGTATATTACTGTTTGGCTTAATTCTCATCAAACAATCCTGTACAGCAATATATGTTGGCCTTTTAATACAGGACACGGTTACACCATATGCTGTATCCTCCAAAATCCCACAAATTTGTAGCTTAATGCATAAATTAAAGATCTTATGAAAAAATCGTGCACAAACAAATTCAAATTTTAATACAGTATATAATAAGTATGGCATCTTGAGACGGTGATGAGCGATTGAGCAAGCATATTTTATAGCGCAAGGGAGGCAAGCGAACATCCCCTTCGGTATACCACTGACAACAGTACAGTAATGTTTACATGAGCGTCAAAGAAAGATCACCCGAAATTATATGTGGAAGCATTAGGAGCTTTTTTTAACTGCTGTAAATAACACTTTATTTATTTATTTTTTATATACTGTACAGTACTGTAGTGTGTTTGTTATGGCTAAAAACAGTTATGTTTGTGTTTTAAGTTTATTGGCTTTGGTTATGTTTCCAATAATGTCAGAGGCTTGCCCTTTGACAGGACAGGTTGAACCAGGGTAAAAATTCTATTTTCTTTGTTAGAATAGGGTGGGGGGATATAGCTCCTTGCCACTATGAATAGCTTTTTAAATCTTGTTAGCTCAATTCGATGGGTTGGTCAGAGTTTATTAGATTAGGGCCTTTTATCCCATTTCAGTTAGTCCCCACCTTTCTCTGGAATGAAATTTTCAG